TGCCAACACTTCCTTAGCTCCTTGTGCTATCCCTGCCTTCTTGCTGTTTTGATTATTGCCCTGTAGCGAGTTGATGATTTGGAACTGCAGCAACAATCATGTTACCATGAGATCACCAGGTAACAGACTAAAGAGGAGAGGATGGAATTATGGAAATAGTATGGCTTCCTAACGACATAATTGAGATCAAATACCAATCTTGGAATCATTAACCCACAGAGTTCTAGTGAAAATTATAGAGTTCCCTTGTTAAGTTTTTAAAGTAGGCATTCTGTTACACGTAGCCTCCAAAACTCCAAATTCATAAACTGTGCCCTGGGCACACAGAAGTATTTAACCATTTGCAGTTGCGGGTGTTCTATTGGGGGAAATGGAGAAGACAGGAGCTTCTTTTCCTGAAGATCAATACCTCTAAGGTGTGTGCACACGTCTGGCTCTACCACAGCTGGCCACTGTTCCTCCAGGCCCACATGCAGACCATGTAGGCCACGCTCAACCTCTGGCTGACCCGAGTCTTGGGAGAACACTCTGTAATCCTCCCCGGAACGAAGCAGAATGGGGAGTCTTGTGAAGGCTGTCACAAGCCCGTTTCTGTTCATCCTCCCTTCGTGGGGGAGGCTGCAGAGGGGCAGCTTATTTTTCTCTCTGGTTCCCACAAGGCCCAAGACTTGGCTCCTTGACCTCTTTGCCCTCTTAGGCACTGGTGCACATTTCTTTGTAAGTTTACAAAATTGACACCTCAATGATCAAGTGGCCCAGTCCTTGGGTCATCCTTCAGCTGGTCCCTCAAGTTCAGTGTCTTCTGGAGGGCCCAGGAATATGTGAAGGGAACACCCTGCAGATTTTCCTCGTCTCTCTATATAAGTAATTATCTGAATCCATTTGAGTTTATTGTCAGATCTATGGAACTGTGACAAGCCAACCTAGCAGCTGCCACTTTGCTGCTCTTTATAGGTGTTTTCTAGACAAGCTAGGCATTGCAGTGGTACTAAGTATTATTACACTTATGTTATCAAGATCTCAGTTTTCTATAAATAGTAATTACATAGAAAGGAAAGTGTTTTAAAGCTCCTAAGTGCTATTTGCATGTGAGATAGAAATAGTTAATTAACTATTTTCTTAGATAACTGTAGATATCTATTTGTGACTTAGGGAAATGGTATCTAACCTAACTATTGAGTGTATCATATTTCATTGTAAAAGATAACTTAACTGATTGCAGAGGGCCCCAAAACATGTGTTTTACAGCTTTAGTCACAGTGAAAGCTTTTATACAACTGTTGGATTTATCTTCTGACATGGCAATATGCAGATGTTCTGCTCTGTTGAGATGAACTCAAGCTAAATAAAAGTAAATCCTATATGAAAAAAAGTTATTCGTTCTTCTAGTCTGCTTTTTTAGTTGTAATACTCATTCTCAATCTGAGGAAACAATAATACAAACTCTCTGCTCCCAGGCAATGCACAGAGTTGAAATTTCAAAATTCTATCAAGGCAAATTATCATTATTACAGAATCATCACAGAACATCTTACAGATAAAATTTCAGCATCCCTTTAAGCAAAGTTAAGATTTAAAGATGATGTTACCTAGGGAAGATTGGTTTGAAAGCAATTACTATTTTCTTCATTTGACTAAAGGTCTGTGTTTACTTTGAGGAACTAAATCCATTTTTCCAGTATTCAGAGTGAGAGCTTCTAATTAGATTACTTGTATATTTATAATTTTATAGAGGGGCAACCTGAAGTTCTGAGATAGATGTAAGAGAGCAATTGAAGGAAGTAGAGTAACAGGTGACTGGTTCTTTGTACACTGTTCAGTGTTTTCTGGGAAATATGTGTTCATCAGTTTCTCAACAATGTGTTATCTTTATCAAGTGTATTTACTTAGAGACATATGCTTATATTTTAAAAAATGTTTCTTTGCCTTCTATTACATTCTTTTCATCCCAACAATGAAAACAATATTTTTATCACGAGGAATTTGGCATTCTGCTAAAAATATCACTTTGTCAGCAAGAAAATGATGCATTTCATATGTGTGTGCTTTTGTAGCTAACAGTTAAGGCAAGCACATTGGTTTTATCAGGACTAAGGTGAGTGTTGTTTGTAACATTTTCAATTCCTTGATATAGAAACTAATATTTTTATTTCCCTAAATGATGAACATCAATAATTAGCCAGAATTTAATATTAGTGATGGAGCTAGTTTATGAATCTAGACACCAAAGCACCTATATGAACAATCTAATTTTTTATGTTTGGGTGATTATTATTTGAGATTTCTCCATTTCTCTGTTAATGTAAGATGTGACAATAATAGATTTCTGAATGTTAAAGCTATCCTTGTTTTCTCAGGATGTATCTATCATGTATGTGGGTGTTAGTTTAGTTTAGTTTAGGATTTTAAATTTAAATTTTAAATGTTAATTTTAGCTTCATAGGTTTAAAAAGTTATGTTTTGTTAAGAATTTTGATTCTGTGTGTGAGAGTTTGACTTGTGACTTTTCTTGCTTGGGCTGTCCTTGTGCAGTTTTGCTATAAAGTTTATGATAGCCTCAATAATTTGTTCTCTCTTTTAAAATTTACTGTAAAAGTTACATAACACGAGGATCAAATTTTCTTTGTATACCTATAGATTACACCTGTAGAGCTGCCTAAGTCTTTATATGTGTGTGTATGTGTGTATGTGTGTGTGTGTGAGAGAGAGAGAGAGAGAGAGAGAGAGAGAGACAGAGACATACAGAGACAGTGATGGGGGAGGTGACATATAATTTTAAGGACTTTCAATTTTTTAATGCTTGTAGATATACTTAGGTTTCTATTTTTCTTATCAGTGTTGAATTATATTCTAGATAAACCTACCAATTTACAAGGGGTTTTTATTCATTAAGATTATTGGTACATCTTAAGTATACAATATGATGACATTCATCATTGGGAATTTGTAACTTTACATGATATATCTTGATTCTTATTTTTTTCCCATTCCCCTGCCAATTTATAAGTTTTGATAGTTCTCGGCCCAGAGTTAATCATATCAAGTTATTTTATTTCAAACTATGTTTTCAGTTATGTCCTCTTTACATTTTCAATAAAATTTTTTCTGAACACAAAGATTTGTCTACTTCATTAGTCTTTCCAAAATTATAGTTGTTGACTTTATGGTACTTTACTATGATTTTCCATGCTATTATTTCTGCCTTTGTCTTTGTTTACTTATTCCACTGTCTTTGCATTGATTTGATTGATATTTCATAACTCTTAAATTAGATAATTAGCTCTTACATTTTCAACATTTCTTTACTATTTCATAATTATTTAAGGTAATATTTTCATCCTGTTTATTTGATTTAACTTCATTACATTCCATAAGTTTTGAAATGTGATATTCTTATCTGATGTGTAGTATTTTCATTCAAATCTAAACCATTTCCAATTTCCATTATAATTTCTTCTTTGATCTACGAGGCATTCAGAACATATTTAAAAATTCCCTAATGTTCTGAGTTTTTATTAGTATTTTCATATTGATCTTTCACTAAAAGAAACCACATTGCATTCTGGTCAAATAATGCAGTTTGTATAGTGAGCTTTTGAAATTTATTGACACTTTCTTTTGGCCGTATTACCTGGCCAATTATTACATATGCTGTATATGTACAAGAGAAGAATACATTTTCCCTAGTATATTTGGGGTACGGCTTTCCATATGATCCTTAGTTAACCTCACTAACTTTGTTTCAAATTTATACATTTAATAAATACCAGACTATATGTAATACTGGTGAAAATATACAGCGATGGAGATTCTCATACGTGGCTTATGGGATTGTATGAACTGTTAAATCCAACTTGGAAAAAAATTCATTTTATCCAGTTAAGTTGAAAATATACACATAAAAGGCCTATAAATTCTATACTGAGTAAATTCCCTAAAGAAGTATGGGCATATATGTTTCAGCTACATTTATGAGAATTTACACGTATACTACTCAAATGATCATAAAGTGCAAATTTTAAAACAAACTTCAATAATGGAATAACATATAGCAAAGCAGTTGAATACCTTACAGCTATATAGAACAATTTAGATAATTCTTAAAAATAATATTAAGAGGAGAAACTAGACAGAAATGGATATATTGAGCATAACTGGGTTTACAAAAGGTCAAAGAAAACTGAACTCATAGATATATTTATTACTTATAGATATGTATTTATATCAAAAAGCTAAATAAAAGCAAGAAATACATTTTTATGAAAGTTAGTGTGCTTGATAGATTAAGGAAGAAGGCTAGGCTTGTGTTTTGTAAGGGACACGTTATCTTCTGTGGTAAAATTGGTAAAGTTCTATGTATTGATTTAGGTATTGATTCCATTAGTGTTTATACTATTGCTTAATATTATATAGAATATATTGTAGTATATTGTTCTGTTTCACAATAAATAGATATATAATATGAAGTGTTCTGACAAAATTAAAGCAGTGTGCGAGTGAAATGGAGGATTGTGTATATGTACGTATACTATGTTATAAAGAGCCATCAACCCAAGTGTCCATTGATTGGTGAATAGAGAATAGAGAAATTATGGAGAAATTAATTGTAGTATCCACGTACAATGGAATTTTATTGGGCCTTAAAAAGGAAGGAGATTATAAGAAGTGTTATAATACAGATGAAACTTGAAGATATTCTGTTAAGAAAAATAATTCAGCCATAAAAGGACGAATATTGTTTAAGTCTACTTCTATGAAGTTCCTACAGAACTGAAAGTCATAGAGAAAGAAAGTAAGGGTGGTTGCCAAAGGCTGGGGGGAGGAGGTGATGCAAAGTTATTGTTTGGTAGGTATAGAGTTTGAGTTTTATAGGATGAAAGAGTTCTGTTGATGGATGGTTGTGAAACTTGTACCATATTGTGAATGTGTCTAATGCCACTGAACTGTACACTTAAAATGGTTAAAATTGTAAATTTTATGTTTTTTATATTTTACCACAGAAACTTCAGAAAGCGAAGGACAGACTAATTAAGTAGCTATGAGAAGAATGTTTTAGAGGAGAAAAATTCCTCAAGGGAGGGGAGATTCTGCCTAGCATACCCAAGAGGAGATGGCAAAAAGAGTGGGGCTTCAGAGGAGCAAAGAATGGGTAATGATGTGAGAAGAGGCCATGGTGTGAGGCGTGTGTGTGTGTGTGTACTAATTTCCCAAAACAAATGTAATTATCAGGTATCACAAACATAATAGACATAAAAAATTTCAATAGTCATCATTTACTTCAGTATTAATTTAATGCAGTATAATTCTGAAATCACCATATTTCATGTTAAAACATTTAATATGAATTGTGTATTATTATGATTTGTGTCTGGATGTCCCCCCAAAGCTTCATGCGGCCATAGGTGGCTGAATCTAGAGTGTGTGATGCTGGGGTTAAGGGCATGTGATTACTAAACCACTACATGTGAGTAATTGGTTTGGCACCGCCCCCATCCCAGTACACTGGATGAGATGAAAGGGGCAGAAAGACACTATGAAGGTCTCTTGTTGCTTTTGCTGTCTTCCACCACTGTGAACTGTTGTCCCTCTGCCACCCTGCCTTGGAGCCAGTCGATTATGGACTGAAACCTTTAGGAACTGTAAGCCAATTAAACCCCTTTCCCTTTAACTTTGGGTGTCTGGTATTCTGTCTCAGCAAGAGAAAAGTAACTAATACGTGAATGCTTGCTTGGTTGGGGAAGGAAATGGAGTAAGGAGTGGGAATGTTCTTGCTACATTTCTTTTTCTCATTGTTGCTCATTTTTAAAAATGTAATACTGATAATAAGCACAGCTATGATGACCATTCCACTGTTTTTCAATAGGTTAACAAATAACTCTTCTTCATCGTATAGGCTGATATAAAAGAATATCTCCTTGCCTTTTCCTCCTACGAAGCAGTGTTGCTAGCAGGGATGAATGTGTGTCCCTTTTTGAGCAAATCGATAATTGCATTAGTAACTTCAAATGAACTCCTGTTTAATGATAAGAAAATAGGTTCCTTGTGTTGCTGAACAGGATATACAAGTATTAAGGATTATGCAGTGAAGCAATTTTCAGTATATAGGTATTTACTTTCTTCCCTTCCTTTATGAAAGGCATTTGATTTTCTTAGCACCAATTTTCTACAAAACAAAATATTCTCTCCTGTGGAAACAGAGTTTCCAAAGGAATACATCCTTTCTAATACACATTGATTTACATAAATGCAGCAGATGATGTGTATTGTGCCAAACATTTACTAAGTGTAGGAATTTGTGTTTGATATACTAAGCATTCTGAAAAATATTATTGACTTTCTTCTCTAACATTATTTTTGGTTGCAATAATGCAGGATATAAACACTTAATATGTTAGAAGGGCAAATTTCTATCTAGGACTCACAATTTTCTCCACATTGTTAACTGAAATGGATGTTCTGATGATAAGCCATTTTTCCATTCCCAAGAATCACATACTTTACCAACATGCTGGTTTTGAAATGTAGGAAAGGACATGAACAATAAAGCTTGTAACTATATAAAATCACAAATACTGGCATCAATCAAGTGAATTATGTGACATTGTTTTGTCAGATGAAACAATTTGATATAACCCTATATTTCTCAATTTTTAAAAATAAGGGTAAGATTTTTGAGATTTCATTTGGCAGATATTTACACTAATTTCTAATATTTTGAGGACAACTTTCTATATATGTTTTTTCTTACAAAAATTCAATAAACTAATCTTCTAGAGGAAGAGTATTGACAATTCATACTTATTTCTTCAACTTAACATGGAGCCTACTCGTCATAGTTTTCATTTATTTTAATGTATTCATTTGTTGTTCATCCATTCATTCCTTTCTCATGGAGATTTCTTCCCATTTAGATTATTCCTGGCAGTCATTAGCTCCCATAGCAACTTATTCCCCTGTACTTCCCTTCTGATTCTCACTGTGCTTTCCATTACCTATTTATTTATTTGCTGTATCTCTAGACTGAATTCTACAGGGATAGTGCAGGATTACTACTGTCATTTATTTAGCATTTAATAGACACAAAGTTCTGTGCTATTTTTTCAAATAAATCATCAGAAAACCCATTTACACTGGGTATTCACAATGCCACTGAACACAAAGGAAAATTAAATTTCTCAGAGACTAGTATATGCATTTCATCCATTCACTTATATATTCATTCATTCATTCATTTAGTGTCTATTGCATACCTGCAACTCTGTATATTTTGTGTTAGTCTCTCAAGATTGAATGGTGAGCTAAGGCAGGCATTGCCCTGCCTCATGTAACTTTAGTGTTATAAACTGACATTAAGGAAAAGAAAAATACACATTTATGAAATTGCATCTGGCCTTGGGGGAGAGGTGAAAGGTGGGAGAGAAAGCGGAAGTAAAAAGTAAAAGCCAATAGAAATTTACAACAGTGGTATAACTAGCATCCTATGTTTCTCTGGCTTTATCATAAAAAATGAAAGTTTCCTGTAAATTCAATACAACATGCCTAGAAAACTGAATGTTGTTAAAACTCTAGACTTAGCTATTATGAATCTTAAAAAAAATTCTAGTGAAGCTTTAAATAAAGATATATAGTTTGTGAAATAAAAATTGACATAACTAGACTTGACTCACTTAACCAATATCTACTTTGGAAATTTTCCATTTAGTATAGATAAAGTCCTTTATTTTCATTTGTAAATATAATCTAAACAGTTGCTTACAATTTTTTAGTTTTCTCTTACCTACTATTCGGAAGGCTGAGTGACAACAGCAAATCGTGTCACATTAGAAATTCTAAGGATTGTATCTAGGCAACAGAATAGAAAATAAATGAAAGCCTATATTTACTTAACTGTCTCTTTGCTTCTCTTCACCTATAATTTACTTTTCCATGGCCATTCATCATGAAAATATCCATGCAATAAATTTAACAGACAAAGATAACTGATAAAGGCTTGGTGAATGGATTTCAGTTGTCTTTCTTAAGCTCATGTACATATTCAAAATGGTGTGTTGATTTGCAATGTGTGCTACTGCATAGAGGAGGGAGTTTTTAGCTGGGCCCTTGAGTACAAGTGTGTGTGAGTTCTATGGCAGTAATATTAATTTATCTTTGAATATTATTTTGTGCTATTTTTGTATTTTTTGCAGTGATGAGGATTGAACACAGGGCCTTGTGTATGCTAGCCAGACACTCTACCATTGAGCTATGACCCAAGCCCAGAATATTATTTTTAAAGCTACCATAAATGCTTTATTTCTACATGAATGATTTGGTTTTTACAATGAAAATTTGGGTTAATATTACATCTTGGGCAATTATGAATTTGTTTTCAGCATTTACAATTTATCTTTATCTATTGCTTATCTCATCCAATATTCCAGACATTTTAATCTATTGTCTTATCTCAATTTCTATCTCTCACTTTTGAGGACAGATGCTTTCTTCAGTTTTATTCTAATCAAGAGCAATATAGATCCTAGGCTCCTAGGGCAGAGAAGGTAAGCCCGTCCCAGCACCCGGAAGGAAGCTCCCCCACCGCCATCCCAAGCTCCTAGGGCAGAGAAGCTGAGCTGGCCCCAGCAGCCGGAAGGAAGCTCCCTAGCCACCATTCCAGGCTCCTAGGGCAGAGAAGCTGAGCTGGTCCCAGCACCCGGAAGGAAGCTCCTCCACAGCCATCCCAAGCTCCTAGGGCAGAGAAGCTGAGCCGGTCCCAGCACCCGGAAGGAAGCTCCTCTGCTCCCATCCCAGGCTTCTAGGGCAAAGAAGGTGAGCCGCGCCGGCGCCAGAAGCAGCCCCCCCGCCCCGTGGAAATGAGCAAACACATAAACAAGCCTCAAAAACAGACTTCTGGATCACCTACAGCAACCCCAAAGGGAAATGAGATGGAACACTCTGATACTCAACCACCTGGACTCTCTGAACTAATCCAGAGCAACATAAAATTTTCTCTTTTTAAGTCTGGTGCTCTCCAAACTTTTACTTTAAAATAACAAGCAAAATAAATATGTTTAGCTCTTCTCCCTTCAACAGTTCTGTTTAAACTTAAAGGGGAATATAGAATGAAGAAAAATTACCAGGTATAGAAACTAGAGAAATACATTACCCACAAGAAGTCACTGATATTTTCAATATACAATAGAGAACATAAAAGACAGAGAGCTAGGCACTGCAGGTCCTAAGTCTCAATGCCTCAACCTCAGAGCAGTGGGAGCTGGAGAACACTGCCATGTGAGGCAGTTCTAGGATCCAAACTTCAGTCCATCAGTGTAGTGCAAGTATTGGAAGAGAGTCTCTTGATGCTACCTTTAGTGTTTTCATGATCTGAACAATTTTTGATGCTATCCTTATGATTTCCTAATAAGGGCAGGGTCATTTGAGTTAGACAATGGAAACACTGTCCCAGTTGAGAGCTTCCAAAGCAACAAAGAGATGGGACACTCTGTTCACCTTGAGCACTTAACTTCCATGTCACATCCTTGGAGTAGACTCCTTTCACCTTTTGACCACCTAGGTTCAGAGAGGAAATCTGTGGAGTTCTACCCTTCCTTATCACTCCACCCTCCTCTACCACCACTCTTCCAATTGTACTGTTCACTACGATAACCCTCTTTTCCTTCATCTGCAGCATTTCTAGCAATTTTTAATGATATATTTGTATAGCTATCTGTTACATGACTCTCTCCTCTGCTAAACTATAAGCTTCACAGGACAATAGTAACATCTATTCTACCACTCTACTTCTAGTACATAATGCAGTATCTGGCAGATAGTAAATAAATAGTTGCTAAATGAATGGACTTTAAATTCATTAGTTTACTGATATTCATTCGATTCCCACTGCTGCCCTTCTAATTCCAACAGAAAAGATTTGGCAAAATAATTAAAAGGTAAAATTTTCTCTTTTCCTTTTATCTAGATCCAAAATATTAGAGAAGGTTCTTAAAACCGGAGACAAAAGTTATCACCAGAACTATGTATTTCTCATTAAATTTGTATCCTAGTCCAGTTAATTTCACAATGAATTATTTCAAATATTTAAAGGCCTCATAGTGTTTATGCTATGTAAAGTATATGCTATTTATGCTATTTAAAGCACAGAAAGTTAATGAGAGTTGCTAATATTTCCTAAAATTGACAAATTGCTGAAACAAAAAACATTCTGGCAAAAAGATAACCCCAGAAATATTTATGTGCAAATCCTAAAGAAGATATTAGTAACAATTCAGTGTTGCATTAAAAGACTAGTTTACCATAGCTAAACAAGAGTTATTTGGAATGTAGAGATAATTCAATACAAAGCTTAACATATTTACATAATTGTCCATATTAGTAGGTCAATTAAGTCTTTCCACTGTTAGTGATGTAGAAATGGACACGTCTTCATATGTTCCATTGTGAAACACTGGGAATATTCTCATTAAAATTGCAACTAAGACAATGATGGTGACTATAATGAATTTCTGAAATACCTGATAGTATCGGTCAGTGAAGTGATAAGAGAATAAAATAAGAGGTGAACGTATTAGAAACTATTAGAAGAGAGGGCACGAAATAGTTGTGTACAGTTAACCAAGGGCCTTACCTTGAGTCAGCGGATTAATTTACAATTTGACACAATTTAAAATTACCAACACATTTGTATGTGTTATCCCATTTTGTTTTCAGAATAGCTTTGGGAGACAGGTCAGTTGGATAACAACCTTTTGGAGATGAAACAAATAAGGTGCAGATAGGTAAACTTTAATGGAGGGTCACAGAAATAGTGCACAAGCAATTATTTTTTGACATAAATAAACATTTATTTAAGCTAAAATATAGTGAAGAGTTTTTACTGATTCATGCCTAGTTCTTACATACTCTTGGCTGGTCTTTTGCCACCAGCATAATATGAATGAGCACATTAGGATCTATTCTATAGCCAACATTAGGACCTACTCTGTGGCCATAAATAAGGTGAAGGTAGCTACCTCTAGGAGGCATATCATTATTCAAAAAATGCCCCAAAGATGTAGCATTTTCAGAAATTCAGTATAAATCAAAGATTCTTAACATGCCCATTATCAAATATTTAAAATATTAAAAAGTTTGGATTAAGGCCAGCTAAAACATAGATATGAATGACATGGTATTTATGTGATAGACTGTTCCACAGGCTTTTAACAAGTACCTCATATGTACCTAAAGGTCTTCTGAGAACTGACATTTTAGTGTAAGGAGAAGACATATACAACAATATCTGTTTTATAGTTGGGTATAGTTTTTTTGGGGGGGGGTTATCGGGGATCGAACTTGGGACCTTGTGCTTGAGAGGCAGGTGGTGGTACCACTGATTCAAGCAATTATTTTAAACTGCACTTTGACACTATTTAATGGTGTCTATTTTCCCTCTCTTAGAGAAGAGTTGACAAGCCATAGAGAAGGCTGCCTGAATTTTTTAGTAATCTAGCATGAAGCTGTTCTCTTTTATTGTCTGCTTCATTTTCCTACCTTATCCCTTAATCTTTTATCAACCAATTAAACAAGTTTAATCCCTCCTAAATACACAGCTCCCCAGTTTTTGAAAGACAAAAATGAAGTTCCAAAAGAACTGAAGTAGTTTTTTCTGAAAATAAGAATTAGAGCACAGTTAAATTTTTGTCAGTAAAAAGGTTTTCTAATGAAAATTACTCCTCTTCAAATGCCATTGTAATTACTTTAAATTAATTAATTAATTATTTCCATACTAGACATTGAGTTTTGCATTGAGCTACATCTTCAGCCCTTTTATTTTTTATTTTGAGATAGGGCCTCACTAAGTCACTAAACGGCCCAGGCTGGACTCGAACCTGTGATCCCAGAATGCTGGGATTACAGATGTGTGCCACAACACCTAGCTACCACTATAGATATTTTTATGTCTTAATATTTCTAAGCATTAGTTATTATTAGCTATCATGCATTTTCTAGTATAAAGCACTAGAGAGAGTATACCCATATCAGGAATCTTCATTTATATTGAGGTGTCAGGAAAAGCCACTCAAGGAAGTAAGCATTAGAATGAGATGTGAAGGAGTAATAGGATTTAACCAAGTAAGCAACAAAAGAAAGAAAATCAGTGACCTTGGGCATAGTGACTGAAAGCCAATGGGAACTGAGATGAAAGAAGTCCTTTGAATATGCGCAGTCTTATTGTCCATGTTAAGGACTTTGGATTTTACCCTGAGTCTAATGAGCTCAATCTGATTGCTATTTTACACTGGTCCCTTAAGCTGATGGTATAGTCGTAAGTCATTAGGGAAATTCTATGTGCTCAGAGATAGGGAGATTTGTTAAGATTTGCAACTTCTGAGCTTATTAAAGAGATAGCACCTGGAGATAGGAGAAATGCTGTGCTCCTCAGTATGGTGCCTGGACCCCAGGAGCCCAGTCATCACTTAGAGACATCTTAGAAAAGCAGAACCTTGGCCTCAGTGCACTCATATTGACCAATATTCATTTTATTACATTGAGCTGTGAATTCACATAAAATACAATGCATATTTTGCAATGAAACATTTCACGGATATTGACATATATATCCACTCATAAAGTCATGCCCACAATTGCAAGAGTAAACATATTAATCACTCAAAAAAAGTTTTCTCGTGTTTTTTGCATTATTTTTTATGGGTTTATCAATAGTTCGTTTCTCTTTTTTTTTCTCCTTTTGATGAATAATACTTCATTGTGTGGATACACATTCTGTTTATACCATCATGCATTGGTAGATATTTCGAGTCTGAGGTTGTTATGAATGAAACTGCTATGAAATTTATGAAGTAGTTTTGGTATGGAATGTATATTTTCTTTCTTTTGATTTTATACCTAGCAGGGAAATTGTTGGATTTATATGCTTTTAAGGTCATGTACTTGAAGTATAATTGATATAAAGTCTAAATTCCTGGCATTTAGGTTTAGCCTTTCACATTTTACAGTTTGAAAAACGTAAACAATCATGTATTCACTACCACAAACTAGACATAGAATATTTTTATCAAAACAAAAACCTTCCTGGTGCTTTTCTCTAATCAATCCTTTTTCCCCACTTTAATCACTTACCAGTCCAAGTTTTAAAATACAGGATGGCAATAACTTGCATTATTTTTTGTTAATTTTTATAAGATAAAATAGCTGGAATTATAAAAATGACAATTATATCAAATTTATTTAATACAGAAATCGACTGGTTGAAATGACACCTGCCCAAGTGACAGTCTGGCTAATCAGTACATAAACAAACACTCCGGCCGAGTGTCGCTGCCAGGAACTGTTAAGAGGTTAAATCCCTGCAATCCACTGATGACACCTTTAGTTTTATCCTTTCCTGAGTGTCATATATGGAGGCACACAGTATGTGGCATTTTGAATCTGGTTTCTCTCATTTAGAACGATGCACTTGAGATTCCTCAATGTTCTTGTGTTTATCAGTAATTCATCTCTTGTTATTGCTGAGTATTTTCCACTGCATGAGTATGCCACTATTTCATCCTTTCACCACTTGATGAGTATCTTAGATGTTTCCAGTTTTTGGCCATTATGAATGAAGTC